TTTAAACTTGTGTTTTGAATTCACAAAAGACACTTTTGCCATTTGCTGGAGAAGGTAAATTTCGCGTGACTGCAAGACTGTAGAATGTTTAATTACCTCCTTCATTTTATGATTTTGTTAAGACGATTAATTAGACACCAGACCGCTAAATATTTTTAAAATCGATCGATGCTTACGGTTTGAACAAGGACTTATGTGTCTTTTTTCAAAATAATGAAGTATAGTCGGACAAATTTACTGCTAGCACTGAAATCAGAATCGTTGCGTTGGTAGAGTTGTATGGCGGGGTGAGGCGGGACTTTCGTATGAATTAAGGCGCTCGGACTCGGATCACGGGGAGGGGGGGGGGGGGGAGATCACCTTTTGCTTGAGAAAAGCCTTTTGTCTCTTTGTTGCGCCTACTGTACTTGCTTCACGAGGTAATCTTTTCAGTTTTGTTTGAAAGGGTGAATTCAAGTCAAAGACAAATAATTTCAGTCTACAAACTATTATTTTTTATTTCAAACAGTTTAAAAAATGTTAAATAGGTATATAATAATGCACTTAAAAATATATCGTGTCAGGTTAGCATCAGTATCAATATCGAGGACATGGAGATTCATTTACAATGATATGAGGAACACTGATGTATAAAATTAAGAATTCTTGTCATGGTCTTAATGTATAGTTATTCGTTCTAGTTACAGGCAGTGATAAAAATTCATTTTTTTGTATGTACAAATACAGAGTTGATGTCCAGGAAATTTAAAACAAGTAGATAAGTCACGGTCTAGAATAAGCAGGCTAAGCAGGCCTTTGAAGAAAATATATTTTCTAACAAAACCATTGTTGAAATTGCTCAGTAAACTTTTAAGATGATTTATTTTTTACACGATTTTTTGACTAGTTGACTACATATTCCACTCCCAATGCACAAAGCATGCCTACTACTGAACACTGCCCAGGCTAGGAAATTCTCATCAGTCTCTTGAAATAGAAATTATCTCCATATTAAACTTACCGGTAATTTCAACTCTTACAAGGAACATTTTTTTTGTTTTTTCATTTAACAGGTAAATAAATTAGGGATCTACAAATGAAATCATTATGTATCTGGTTCCATTTGTAACAGGAAGGCCTTCATGTAGGTGAGTTAGACGACCAGGGTGCATCAGCAACCATCCTACTCGAGTCTTAGTTACTTTGCAGTTGTAGCGTATGAAATTACACCCTCCACCCTACAACAGAGAAAAGAATATCATTGTTAGCAAAAAATATACATTGATCTACAGGAATGTAGAGGAGCAGATACTAATACTTTACCTGGTAATCTACTTCAGGTCTGTTTAATGCAAGGTTAATAGTATATGTTGAAGAATCATGATGGGGACGAAGAGAAGGCTGTTCATCAGGTCTATATCGCACAACAAAATTCATAATCGACCTTGGAGTCTGCAAGTAAAAACATAGAATTTAGACAATATATACATAGGTGATCCCCTGTAAAACCATTGTAATAAAAACAATGCATTAGAGAGATGGTATGTGGTGCAATTTTTATGCAACAATAGTACACATTTAGATCAACTGTACAGTATGCAGTGCTTTTAAAAATGAACATATGATTGATATGTGCAGACTCTTAAAACTGAAAGTTACAATGCCACCTGTCCCCTAAAGTGCATCCAGTGAGTTATGTGGTGCATTAAAAAAATAAAGAATTAAAAAATGAAGGGTCATTATTTTCTTTTGTTTATGTGCCCAGCACCGTTTTTTTTCTCTTTTTTTTTCTTAGAACAGGCCCCTAAAACTACAAATTGGATTGAGTATAGAGCTTAGTTTTCAAACCTTACATCATCATAACCAATAAAGACTGCTTGTTGCAGAGGTTGAACATAATCCTCCAGAAATAAATCCCAGAGATCATCCAAGCCAACCTGTCTCATATGTATATCTCGAGTGGGTACAGCTTCATAACCACCATCTAGTCGTGGATCCTGGTAGCACATAGTTCAAAAAGGGTAAATTGGCTGGGGAAATTATTTAAGTTTTAGAAAACCTAAGCTTTGGCGGGGCATAAACCAATCAGTGGATTTAAGAGACTGAAAGACAAAGATTTCACTACATATGTAAACCACTCACACCACCTCTCCTCTGACATCATACTTTCAAAACATCTACATACATCATTATTGTAACCAGTGAATACTCGTTCAACTAAGGGTTTTACATAAGATTTAAGAAACTCCAGCCATTGGGGATCAAACCCAACCTGATTCATATGAATGTCCCGAGTAGGAACATTCTCATATCCACCAGCCAATCGCTCATCCTGAAAATTTTACAAGCAATAACAACAACTGAAGAGTTAAGTTGACTCTAAAAATACTGTATCACCAATCAAAAAACAAAAGAAAAAGAAAAGAAAAGGAGTATACAACATAAAAAAATCAAAAGATACAGTCATCAACAATCCTGCAAAGTTTTAAGAAAATTTAAACCAGATGTAAATTATTCACAATTATATACAGCCCTAATTAGGTACCTTGTTGGAGCCATCGGACCACCTCCCAAAGTTTTCCATTATATCAATTAACTCTTGACAAAAACGAGGAGTAACAACTGGGAACCAGTACACATCAGGGCAAGGCTGAAAAATTACGACAAATATTACAAGTAATATGAACAAACTCTGCAGCTGTATAAGCACAACTAATGTTACCTGAAGGGGAGTGGATTGAGGATCAAGAGCATTGGCATAGTCTTGATGAATGTACCGCTGCTCCCAATCCCAACGGTTCTCAACAAGTGTGTAAAAGTCAGGATGAGTGTGTGTGAGATCATAGTTCTCAGTGTTCACAAGATGTCCAAAGTCATGTAAATTGGACACAAACATGAAAGAACCCTGTAAATTTGTAAATTGCATGGTAAAATTTATCATCAATAATACCATTGAATTATATTGCACCACTAAAATTATTTCATAAGTGCACAAATGCTGCATTACCTTTTCTCTAAGACTGTGGCAAAATGCCATGTCAGGATCCAATGTGCCAAATGAATATGAAGGCTGTGACTTTTTATCAGCTAATATAGTTGCATTCACCAAATAACAGCCACTGATGTACGGGACATTCCAGAGGCCCCTGCAATCGAAAAAACATGCACAAGGGGGTCAGGTCATCCTAAGTATGTGTCTGTGTCATTATCCTGGATCGTCAGGGCCAGGACCTTGCCCTGTCACGCTATATTTGGAGGAGGCCACTCCGAGCCCTGGCCATGGCCGGCACAGCCGGGCCGGGACAGCTGTCCTACGCCCCCGGCCTGCCGGGCCCTGCGCCCGACAGCTACAGCTGGTTAACGCTGGAGAGAAGGAAGATGATGATGATGAGGAGGGGGGCCGAGGGGTGAGAAGGGCGAGGGAGCGCGGAGCATAGGGGAGACCTGACCGGGGAGACCTGGCCGTCAACGCAGTGGCTCGGCCGACGCGTAGCGACGCTGAGCGACGCCGAGCCGAGCGACCTGGGCGCTCGATGTGACCATGAGGACGCGGGCACTGCAGCGGGTGCTGCTCCTCGGCCTCCTCGCGCTGCTCGCGGCCCCTGGACCCGGCGCGGCGCTCCGGGGCAGCGGGACGCGCGTGGGCAAGGGAAGGGGCATGCGGCACCAGTACAAGTCCCGCCTGCCCGTCCTGCTGCACAACAAGGACCCCGCCACCAGCCAGTACTACGAGCATCGAGACGTGAGTAGGGCCCGCGGGCCCGCGACACTGTCACGCACTGTCACGCCATACTGATCTGACGTTAGCTGCTCCCGTCACCAGGGCGCGCGCATCGTCAAGTCGTCACACTTCGAGCTCGACTACATGCTGGGCCGCAAGATCACCTTCTTCTGCATGGCCAAGGGCTTCCCTCGGCCCGAGATCACGTGGTTCAAGGACGGCATCGAGCTGTACTACCACAAGTTCTTCCAGGTGAGCCCTAGAGGGGGGCGTTTTGCGCCCAACCACGTGGCAAAGAAATACAAAAAAGACGCGGGCGATCTGGTATGTAGACCGCTGTATCGCATGCATGTGTGTGGTGTACCCGGGTCTGACTACCGCATCTGACCAACCAGAAAGTACGGCCGTTTAACTCAGATACGCTCGGCCCGCCTGCGATACTTAGGGTAGGCCAGCCCGCAGTACACGCATGCACAGCGTGCAAGATGTTGCCTACCTACCAGGCGTTATGAGAGCTTTCGCAGGCTGAACTTGACAGGTTTGTTTCGACGAATAACGGGCGTACTTTCGGGACGATCCCTAATAATGCAGGTCGCTTATGGCCGCGAGCAAGCAAGTAGGCAAAACATTCAAACACGCGTGCACGCAGTACAGAACAACTACAAAATCCGAGGGGATGTCCAGCGACCATGGGTACAGTCCAGCAGGGCTTAATAACTGTCTTGACTGTCACACCAGGTCCACGAGTGGCCCATCGGCAACGACACCATCAAGTCCAAAATGGAAATCGACCCAACGACCCAGAAGGACTCCGGTTTCTACGAGTGCCAGGCCAACAACCAGTACGCCGTGGACAGCAGAGGCTTCCGGACAGACTATGTGAGTTACTGACAAACAGGGGGATGACGACACGCACGGCGTGACTCTGTGGCCGCTATGACTCTACAATTGTAACCCTTTCTTTTATTTTCCCATCTAGGACACACCACTGTAACACTGACACTGCGACAGACTGCAAGACGGTCTGTTACCGAAGGCAAAAGCGCTTTGTATATTTATTTATTATTATGAATAAACTGCTTCGCGAAAAGTGAAAATAAATACCGTTCTGAAATTCTTTGACCCTCCCCCCCTTTTTTTCAAGACTAAGAAAAGTAAAAACCGCTGTGAAGGTATTGAGAAAACCTAACCATGATTAACCATGGTTAAAAGGAAGGCGGAACGCCACGAATCAAATTAAGTCAGACGCCAGGAAACAAGTCAGAATAAAACAGGGGTTCTAGAAAAGACGGCATATACTATCCACACCATCTTCAGAATAGGTGATAAGCACCGGCTCAGTCTGAGAGGGAAGGCAGGCTCCGGATACGGGGGAGTTAGTGGACGGAGGAGTTTGTGCGCTCGGCAAGCCCACCTCCCAAGTATACCAAGGTGGTAAGGTGGTCCTACACAAAAATCCTTCCTAGGAGAGGATTCGTCAGGATACCCGCTGCAGCAGATCGAAATACGGAGAGGATTTGTCAGGATACCCGCTGTAGCAGATCGAAATACGGAGAGGCCAGCAAACCATCTCGTACCCTCCCCCTGCGATCCGAGAGAGAGAGGGAGAGAGAGAGAGAGAGGGGAGTATGGATGGATGGGGCGGAGAGGGGGGAGGGCACCCCTGACGACGTGCGTCGTCCGTCCAATTGCGGTCATGAGACTGACATTGTGCAAGGGTGACGAGAGATATTTATAAGCATAGATAATAAAGGCGTGTCACCACGGTGTCACCTCTCTGACCGGCCACCTCTACGACTGGTCCACGCGCCCCAGCGGCCCAACCCGACGGGCGTTGTGCAGCAAACAGGAGGTGAGGGGGGGGGGGGGGGGTGAGAGGGGAGGCCGGCCGCCCCCTGCCAGCCCTATGGGAAATAATAACGAGGTAATTGGGGAATTTCCTTTTCATGAGTAACCCAACAGGGCTAACGCGTCGTGATTCGGACGCGCGTAGCCCGGATTACTGAATCGAGTTGACTAGTGCCGAAATATACTCGATCGACAGGGAAAGGAGAGGGGGTAAGGGAGGGAGGGGAGGGTGGGGTGACGACGGGAGGGTGGGGTGACGAGGGAGAGGCCCACGATGCACACACACACATACACGAGAGGAAGGGCCCCATTACCCGGCGCGACGCAGGAGGGGGACACGAGGGGGTGATCAGCGAGAACGCGAGAGCAGGGGGCTCGGTGTCGCGAAGCCCTTTGCAAAGCGCACCGGCTTGCACACACCGCATTGCCACTCGACCGGGACCGCGACGCGCAGCGAGGAGCCGACGCCATGAACCGCCGCCACCTGTGGATGTGCCTGATGCTGCTGGCGGCCATGGCGCTCGGGCCGCAGGTGCAGGGGCGGCGAGGCCGCGCCAAGACCAGGACCCGGAGCAGGATGCAGATCGGGCTGCCCGTCACGGGCAAGTACCGCGACCCGGAGAGCGACCAGTACTACAACCACAACGGGGTGAGTACGGGGCTCCTCCACCCCCTCGTCCCTCGCGAGAACCGCTGACCATGGCGACCGCCGCGGCTGTTCCAGGGAGCCAAGATAATCCAGGCGTCGCACTTCGATTATGAATACACGCTGGGCCACAAGATTTCGTTCGTGTGCGTGGCCAAGGGGACGCCCCGCCCGCAGATCACCTGGTTCAAGGACGGCGTCGAGCTCTACGCCCACCTGTACCAGACGGTGAGACTCGCTACCTCCGACAGGATCCACGGCGTCCTAACGCGCCCACTTCAGTTTTGTGCCACGGTATTCAGCGTTTTGGTCTCTTTCCCTCCCCCAGGTGCACGAGTACATCCTCGACAAGGAACACATCAAGTCTAAGCTAGAGATCGATCCAGCCACCCAGATGGACGCAGGTGTCTACGAGTGTTCTGCCGACAACATGTATTCCATTGACCGACGCAGTTTCAAAACTGATTTCTCTATTATCTTTGACTGAGCTCCCGCAGAGGGCTTGTCTATACATCATATATCGATTGCCAAAAATTTATGTTTTAGAAATTGCAACACAGAAATTGTCAAGTGCTTGAGTGCAATGTGTTGGTGTATGAAATGAAATGCATTAAAGATCAAATAATACTAAGAACCTTCCAAGCTCTTATTTGAAAATATTCAACAAATAATATGTAGTATAAAACTTACCGACGTTCGAGGTTGACTATTTCCATATAGTCTGTAGATCTTGCATAGAAGCCATCAGTACTGAGAGCGCCCCAAAAGTTCGACCAGGCTTTGTATGGTCTGGTTAGCATTGGAGCGACAACTCCTCGATTGGTTTCCAGTAACAAGCGTAGTGCATTAGAGTTGTCCAAGTGTGCCTCAGCATCCACATTAAGATATGCACTGCACTCTTTTTGGACACAATAACTCCTGCCAGCAAACAAATTAGATTTGAAATACAAATATTTTTAAAATAAA